AATGATCAACTCAAGCTCTGCTAACACGGGACTGGAGATATGTTGACATTATCTTCAAAAGATTGTATTGTACTTATTTCATAGAAGTATTCTCCGGACAAAGGCCTTGTTTTGTGGATAATTCCTTGACTACGAGCTTCAACACCTATTTTATTGGAAAAGAAGACGTACTAGAAGATTTGATCTGATTATAGCCGTTGAGGATACTTCAACGACTATATTTCTTCAACTATAAAAGGAGCAGAAGATTTGAAGATCAACTCAAGAAATAACGCTGGAACTACAACTGAGATATACACGTACTACAACTCAAGAGAAGCTAATCTGATAAAGAGTTCTTATTCTTGTATAACTTAAGAATCCTTGGTGTAAAAGTGTCTTGTATTATATTTGAACACCTCTGATTATTAATCAAGTGTTGTTGTAAGTTATTCCTTCTCTAAAGACTCAATTTAGATAAAAGTCTCTTGTCTTGGGCTTGAGCAGTGAAATCTTGAATTGTGAATCTGAGCAAAGAAGTCTTAGACGATGCGTCTGAGTAGAGAAGTCTTAGGCAAAGTGTCTAAGCAGCGAAGTCTTGAACTATGAGGGTTTAAGCAAGAAAAGTCTTAAGACCTGAGGATCTAAGCAGAGAAGTCTTGATCAGGTGCTGATTAAGCAAAGAAGTCTTAGATTGTAGGTACGAGCAGAGAAAGTCTTATACTGTTGAGTATAAACAGTTGTAATCAGTTTAATTAAATCTTTTGCGTGGCAAGGGGACTAGAGTACTCTCAGTTGGAGAGGAATTAGGATAACTGTTGTGTGTTCTTTGCTGCTTTTATTTGCTTCTGTTACATTTTACGCTGCACTCATTATTAGATTCTAAACTCTGGTTCAGAAGTAACAAGAATTTTGCAAACACAATTCAACCCCCTTCTTGTGTATTTTTCTCACCTTCAAGGCATTAAGGGGCTTTCAGATCACAATGTTAGATTGTTTTCGTTCATTCAAATTGATTATATTACATGTGGGGATCATTTAGTAACTTTTGTGACTAACCTTTTGGTTAATTGGCTGTACACAATCTCTGAAAGGGCACACCATGTGAAAAGAATTTGCATTTCCCCCTTAATATATTGGTCTTGTTTATAAGAAAAATTTGACTTTTTTTATTCATTGAATAATTAATGTCTATTTATACAACTCAGATACATTAATTATTCAATTAATCTAAAAAGTAAAATATTCTCTTATAAATAGGACTAGAGGGAGTATTATGCATCATAAACATAATTTCCTCCATCCTAAAATAAGTGTTATACTTTTCACACAAATTAAAAAAGTGTAATAAATGAAATTGAAAGAATAATAATTTTATCAAATTATTCTTATTAATTATTTGTGTATTCGAATTAACATTAATCCAACGTGACAAAACAATAAAATAAATGTATTAATTAGAGGATTCAATTGAAAGATTAAAATTAAAACTATATTGATAAATTAAAATGACAAATATTTTAAGATAAATAAATTTTTTATAACATTTATTTTGAGACCGAGTGAATAATACATTTCTATTGCAATTGACCGAAATTCTATTCACTGCTATGACTTTATTTAATCTAGAATATGCTTGGACTAGCTCAAGTTATAACCTGTGATTTATTCAATCAGTTTATTGCCTATATTATTTTCTATATTATGTAAATATGACACTATTAATCTAGTTTGTTGCACTTTTTAATCTTGAATGTTAGGTGTTATAAGTTGCTTGAGTATAAGGAAAATAAATTTGTTATTTTAAGACCAATTGCATTTCCTGTCATGAAGAACTTTCTAAAAATGGAGTGAAAATTAACATATTAAAATGAAAATAATATGACGGTCTAATAATCTAATAATCTATTACAATGTAAATATTGTAAAACTCCTTCATACTGATTTCTAACCATTTAACAATGATTTTAGTGCAATATATTTTTACTAACTAACTCATATCCTATTTACAGGTCAATCATATGGTTCAAACTTGCGTGTATTACCAAAAACAATGAAAAAACATATTTGTTGCAATGTGTATCATACATATCATAAGGACCTCAAAACAACATTTGAATGTGTGGAGAAAATCAGTCTATAAATTTACCTACAATTGAAAATAATACATACAAATTGATTAAATGTGGTAAAAATATATATTTTTGAAGGGTAATAATTCAATTTGAATGATATGATTCATTTTCTTAAACACTTTGTTAGTAATTGAATTTAATGCATTTTAATTGATAAAAAAATTAATATAGAATGATGAGATTGGAATGTTTTTAATTGTATTACATTATATATTTATGAATTGTTTATAGAACTATTAAGTTGCTTTGATATAACTTTTTTATTTTATTTTATTTTATTATTCTCAATTAACTTTAGTTATCTTGTCAATATAAAATACATTAACAAAAATATATTTATAGTGATAGTGGAAATAAATTTTCTACTAAGCTTTGTAGTTTACTAATTATATGTAATTTATTGTATTGGTTGCAAGATTTTCATTTTTCATTTTATAAATTAATATGGTTATTATTTTTATTCATCCTTTATTTAGATAAAAATATAATAAATCAAATCAAATAAATAAATATAATCTTTTTTAAATAGCAAATTGTTAATAGATTCAATCTTATTTTTAAATATTAATGATGATGTAAACAAAACTCCTCAATTTCTCTTATTAAATCCTAAATAAATAAAAAATATTTTTTATAGATCAATTATAAAAAAATGGTTATTTATTGACTAATTAGTTATAAATAAATATTTATCTAGATGATTAAAATTAAACCTCATATCAAATGAGTATATCTAAGAGTTTAAAGTTTTAAGATTAGATTGAGATTGGACTCAGATTGAACCGTTTACAAATAAATAAATAGATATTTTTTATCTATACATAAAAATAATATTGGACAAGAGTAATATATTTGTAAAATTATATATTAAAATTTATTAATAATCTCATAATGATAACTAATATTCAATAGTTTATTTAGTTTTCTTATAGCTTTTCATATTTTTAAAATTTATATTTAATTATTTGAAAATATTTAAAATTATTAATAAATAAAACAACACAAACGTATAAAATGTCTCAAACCTCCCTTTTTGTGTTAAAAATGTAATTTACCTGATAATAAAATAATTAATTTTAATTTTTTAAAAGCAAAATTTTAAAACTCTGGAAATTCTTGCTCCCCTTGGACAATTTGTATTTATCTGTATTTGGATCCTTATTCACAGATATCTCGGTTCGATAAATAAAAAGAAGAGGATCAAAGCATTTCTTCGAACTCTTTTTCCAATTTGAGAAACGTTGATTGAACATGTGTTTCCTTAGAGGTATATGATTATGAATATCATTTTCATACCTTTTAATTACATATTCTAAGTTGCGATTGAATCGATTACCTTGAAAAGAATTCCCACAAGAGGTCTGGACCCATTTTTTTTATGATCTTTATATAAAAAGATTCATTTGCTTCGTAAAAAAGCCGAGGCAGAACCAATAAAAATTTCTTTTTTGATTCATCCCTGGAGTTGAGTACTTGATTTACAAATTATAATAAGTCAATATACGAAATCTAAGGTATCTATAATAATAAGATAAAACAAAATTTCAAAAGACTTTATTTTAATATAATAAATAACAAATTACTAATATATTTTATATTTTGTATCAATTCACATTTATTCATCAAATGAATAGAGAAGACTAAAAAAATTAAAAATAGTTTTTACTTTGATTTTTTTTTTTAATTTTCTATGATAATTTATACTAGAGTATTGGAGAAGTGAAAAAGAAATTAAATAAAACAAAATTTTGATTTAAAATGAAATATGTTATCATGTTTTTATAAATCAGAAGTTAAATTTGATCTTCGATTTTTTTTTGAATATTTTTAACTGATTTTTTATTTAAATCGTGAATTGTCTGCATGTTGATTTTTAGCTCCAATCAAATTAGGTAGAATTTCGATTACCAAGTAAGTTTATTTTTAAAAATCAAAACGTGTATACTTTGATGAAATGTTTCTTTGTGACTAATTTATTTGTGTCACTTTTTTTTAGGTGGTCTGTTCCGGGAATGAATTACCAACGATGTTTCAAAAACTCAATAATCATCTACTGCAACCTTTTAGAACACATTGGGCCGGATGATGTAATTTATCTACCAATAATGTACCATAAATTTGTCTATTAAATTACCACACTATAGTTTTTCTCATTAAATCTATTGTTCATGTAGTTTGTCTGGAGACCGTATGAGGGTCTCGACCATCAGCCTAACATCAATGATGCTGCAATGTGGACAACTAAAACACTGATAATTCGGTTTACTACAATGGAGATGCACCAAAGTGATCGGGTGAAACTGCAGTTCGACATGCATTAGGATATTCCAGTCACTCCGAAGTCTTTGAGAGACTGCATCAACTTAGGGTGGATACACAATAGGGTGTAAATCATTAAAAAGACTTTGTAAAAGAGATGTGTCTACATTGAAAAAATTGACATCGACACATCTTAACTGACCCTGTTGTGGAAGGGGTTAGACCAAGTCATCAATATATGATTTGGTCTAGGTCGATTACAACAACACAACAACTTATGTCTGAGCTGACATATGACGCTTTCTCTAAAAATACAAAAAAATTAAGACAACTTTAAATGGAGTCGTCATATGATATAACACATCAGTTTAATTATTTTAAATTTTGAATACTTTTGATATGATAATATCATATCACGCATGTTAAATATATGTTACTTTAGTATATATTTTAAATCTGAGTTATTAAGATATATAGTTGAAAATATAAATTATTTTTAAAAAAAAAATTCACGAAAGTAACTGATATACCGGCGGACAGTTTAATTTGGGTTTCTGCGTGGATACGGCAAGAAATCCAAGCTCGTGGAGTTTTGAATTCCATGAGCTAGCTAGCAATTATCATATCATGCCTAACTACTCCTCCAAGTTCCACGGCCACAACATAGCCGCCTTCTCCTCTCGCAGATCCGCCATTTTTCTTGTTCTCTCCGCCTTTCTCCTAAGCATCGCCACTTTTCTCTTTCTCCGTCCATTTCAGGGAAACCGCTGTCTCAACTCCAATCCGAGATCAGTTAAAATCGTTTGGGAACATTCCACCGCCGCTGGAACTCATGACCTTCCCAATCGGCATAAGGTTATGGGTTTTGTGGGGATTCAGACCGGATTCGGATCTGTTCGGAGGAGAGAATCGCTCAGAAAGACGTGGTTCCCGTCCGATCAACAAGGACTTCAACGGTATTCTTTTACTTCCAATTTATTAGCTCTAGACTGAAATTTGTGAAAATTGTGAAAATGTTGCAATCTCAAATTTTGGCCTGTTACTTGCAGCTTGGAAGAATCTACTGGATTGGCTTTTAGGTTTGTCATTGGTAGAACAAGTGATAATTCCAAGATGTCTGCACTTAAAAATGAAGTAGTTGAATATGATGATTTCATTCTCTTGGATATTCAAGAGGAGTACAGTAAGCTCCCATACAAAACGTGTGTGCTGAAAATCACTTAATTCTTCAATTGTTTATGTAATTTCTTATTAATTTTACTATTCCTTTATTACAGGTTAGCTTTCTTTAAAGCCGCTTATGCTCTTTTTGAAGCCGAGTTTTATGTCAAAGCTGATGATGACATATATTTAAGACCTGGTGACAATCTTTAAGACTTATAGTAACGGATATAATTACATATGTCGTTGCGTTAGGGTTCTAGATAAGTTTTACTAAAATATTTTCAATTTCTTGTTAGATCGTCTTTCATTACTGCTGGCAAAAGAGCGATCTCATACTCAGACTTACATTGGATGTATGAAAAAAGGACCTGTTTTCACTGATCCAAAACTCAAATGGTTAGTTTTGCTTTGATTCGACTTATTTTAGGCTTTAATTTGCTTCTTTGTTGCAACGAGATTAATATTTTGAAATTGTTGTGATCTCTCCTGAACAGAGCTGTTTGATTATTTGAGAAAAAAGTATAAATTACTAATATTATTTAGCTTTAGGATTTAGAAATGAACAATTACTGCGGTGAAAGAGAGCCAATGTCAGATAATTAATTTTCAAGCTGATGTTACCTTTAGATATATATTTTCTTAACAATTTTATTTGTAGCTTTATTTTAAACTTTCTTTCCTTTTATATGGAGGCAAAACATAAGCTAATATGTCATACATAAACTTCAAAATATATCAAGATTCAAGTCGTAAATCAAATGACAAAAGAAATGTGGTTGACTATACAAATTGATAAAAAAATATGGTTGGCTATACAAATTGATAAAAAATGCGGTTGCATACAGTAAGTTTTGGTTGTGAATATAGATTCAGCATAGTGAATCATTACTCATCACAAGGAATTGGGATTCAGATCTAAAATAGATGCACACGAAGATTCGTATTGATTTGGTTTAGTTTTGTTATCAGTATCGCACTGATTCATGATTCACACGTATGTCAAGATATACTAATAACTTAACAAGTACATAACAAATACATAATTATCTCGTTCTTAACTATATAATAAATGTATAATAATTGTAGAACGCATTATTCTTTTACAATAAATAGATCCTGATGATCAACAGTTGGGAAATTTATCCTCAATTGCAATTGTCGGTTAATTGAAACAATTTCTCATCTTTTGCTGAGATACCTGGGTGTCGATTTCAGTTGTGGGTCATATGTTACTATTATCTTTCTCTTGTTTAGTTTAATTCGGCGAACATACTAGCCTTTCTCTACACTCTATAGTGACATTCAAAAGTGCCACTTTATAACCAACATATTAACTTCTTTTATTTATGGAGCAATTATACTATATTAAATAATATCTTGCAGGTATGAGCCACTATCACATTTACTTGGAAAGGAATATTTTTTCCATGCTTATGGTCCTATATATGCTCTTTCATCTGATGTTGTTTCAAGCTTGGTTGTTCTTCGAAACGATAGGTATGTTTTCTTTCCTCCAGAATTCCGTCTCATTTAATGGATTGTGAACATTAACATGTCTGATATTGCTAGGGTTGGATAATCTCTGTTTATATCTTTAAAAAATAAAATAAAAGTTGATATATTGTATTAAATTTTGGCTAGTCATGTTGAGTAACGAGTTGTTTCCTGGTCAAAATTGATTGGGAGCTGTACTCATATTTTATTACTATCGATAATATTGTGTTCGATATTTGTAAATATATATATATATATATATATATATATATATATATATATATATATATATATATATATATATATATATATATATATATATATATATATATATATATATATATATATATATATATATATATATATATATATATATATATATATATATATAATGTTAAGAATATTTGTATATAGAATAGTCCCACATCGACTATATCATGTAATTAGTTGTAATCTATTTATATATAATAATGTCTCTGTAGTGCTTTTCAAAACACACGGTTTATTCATGTCTCTTAGTCTCTTGTATTTTAACATGGTATCTAGAGCCTACTAAGAGGCAATTCTTTCTTCCCCGTATTTTACCCGGTTGACCTACTGTCTTCCGGTGAGAATTTTTCTTTGGCAAACCGTGTTGTCACTCCGGTTTGCCTCTCACTTTTCAAAATTCTCTCATAACCGTCTTGCCGCCGTTATAGTTTCGGCAAAATTTTCGACGACGTTTTGAAAAACCGGTTTTGTCGCTGTCCTCCGATCCGGTCGTCGCCCTTTTTCCCGCTGCTGCCCCAGCGCGTCCGGCGGCTGATTCCGACCGTTTTTCTGCCGATCTACTCGCCTTTCCTCACCCATTCCAGATCCGGCCTCTGTTTTACTTTCCGACTCACGGAAAACGGTGCTCCAGTGCAAACAACCCTGATTTCACTCTGTTTTTTGTGTCATTAAGCTATGGGAGATGCTGATTCTATCTCGTTTACTAAAGTTTCTCTTATCCCATGTGAAAAACTAACCGGATCAGCAAACTCGTGCTGTCGATACGTGGTTTCGTGATCAGGGATATGAAGATCACCTAACCACACAATTGACTAATGTTGCCTCCGACAAACTCTCTAAATGGAAGAAAACAGATGCCTCTCTCCTTACCGTGTTATGGTTCTCCATAGCACTTAACCTCTAAGCGTAGTATCAAGCCTTCTCCACTTGCTACGATGTTCATTGTCTATACAGTGTCATCCTCAAACTCGACACACTAAAGATGGAAAATATGGATATGCAAACCTATCTGAGTAAGCTTGATGCCTTGAAAGCAAGTTACGCAACCCTCATGCCGTACGCAAAAGATGCAACAACTCATGCCGAACAACAGAGTAAATTTTTCATGGTCATGGCACTTAAAGAACTACCATCTGAACTCGACTCCGTTCATAATTAGATTTTATCAGGTACTATTGTTCCTAACTATGATGCAGTTAGTGAACAACTGTTGCGCTTGGCTACACCTCATGCGTTTGGTCCGGTTTTCCCTCCATCTATTGTTGCTCCAACACCAGGTGACACTGCTGCCCTCACATCTCTTGGCAACAATCAGAATCACCCTCGAGGAGGGTCATCCAACTCCAAACCTCGTCCCAAGTGTAACCATTGTAACCGGCTTGGACATACTCTCGACCGTTGATGGAAGCTACATGGCAAACCCCCACGCGAGGTAAATGCAGCTCAAAGTGATAACCCAAAAACTATGCAGATTTCACCTTCTATTCAGAACCCTACGCCAAGCTACGAAGATTTTCTCATGTGGTGTCAGACTAATCAGATCTCTAGTTCCACTGCTTCGGTTGCACACACTGGTAATTCATCTGTTTCTCTCAATCATCTCCTCTTGATCCTTGGGTCCTTGATTCTGGTGCGTGTGATCATGTTACTGGTAATAAAGGTCTTTTTTCTTCCCTCTCTACCTCTAGTTTCTTGCCTATTATAACTGCCGCAAATGGTTCTCAAACCCGATCCCAAGGGATTGGTACTGTTCAAATTTTACCATCTCTTTGTTACTTCTGTCCTTTATGTACCTAATTGCCCATTTAATTTACTGTCAGTCAGTCGTTTAACTCGTTCCCTTAATTGTTCTATCACCTTTACTAACAGTAATGTTACTCTGCAGGATCGGAGTTTGGGACAGACGATTGGCGTCGGATGTGAGTCTCAAGGCCTCTACTACTTCTCTACGTCATCTACCACATGCTCCACCACAGATTCTCCACTCATTATACATGAGCAGTTAGGTCATCTAGGTCTTCCCAAGCTACAAAAGTTGGTGCCCAGTTTATCTAAATTATCCACTTTACATTGTGAGTCTTGTCAGTTAGGGAAACATACTCATAGTCTCTTTTCCGATCGAGTCAATAAACGGGCTGCGTCCCCTTTTGCTTTAGTTCACTCCGATGTTTGGGGTCCTTCACGTACCGTGTCTACTTTTGAGTCTAGGTATTTTGTAACCTTTATTGATGATTTTTCACGTTGCACATGGCTATTTTTAATGAAAAATAGGTCTGAATTGTTTTCTATTTTTGAACAATTTTATCGAGAAATAAGAACCCAATTTGGTTTATCTATTCGTACCCTAAGAAGTGACAATGCACGTGAATATTTATCCCAACAATTTCAAACATTTATGTCATCCAATGGTATTTTGCACCAAACATCTTGCCCTAATACACCCCAACAAAACGGGGTAGCCGAACGCAAAAATCGGCACCTCGTAGAAACCACTCGGACACTACTTCTCCATGGTAATGTTCCTCTCCGGTTTTGGAGAGATGCGGTGCTCACGGCATGTTACCTCATAAATCGCATGCCCTCATCTGTCCTTAATAATAAAATCCCCCCTTCAATCCTGTTTCCAAACTCTCCACTCCACCCAATTCCTCCTCGAGTCTTCGGGTCAACGTGTTTTGTACACAATCTCTCCCTTGGTCTTGATAAACTATCAGCTCGATCACTAAAGTGTGTCTTTCTTGGCTATCGTCGATCCCAAAAAGGTTATCGTTGCTACTCACATACTTTACAACGATACCTCGTATCCGCCGATGTTACCTTCTTCGAGTCTGTTCCATATTTCGAATCCAGCCAAGTAACTACGGAACCAGCTTAACTTATAGTTAGCTTAGTTAACTTACCCTGCACAGTCTATATTATGAATGTAACAACATCAGACATGACATTCATACATATACTAATATTTTGCCACAAAATGCAGCCAATCAAGAGCACTTACAAACTCCTCCTTTGGCAAATTTTTGGCTAAAACACTTTGTACTTACATCAGAGATTTCCACACAGCAGAAGACTTAACATAGGTCCTGTCATGCAGGTAAGTCACTTGCTGCTCAAGCTCTCAGAATCCTCACAGTTGGCTTTCAGCCCTGTTAACACTCACTTTGTTAACTCTCTGTGGGCTTCTACTCCAGATGTCACCCTTTGCTAGTTGAGTAACAGAGTTACTCCCCCTCAACTGATGCACATCAGTTGTACACTTCACCTGCAAACAGCCTGCAATTACATATATTCCTCCAGCCTGCTCTGGATGTTTTGACATTCTGGATAACATCATGTCACACAGTTGTGCAACTCCCCCTGCAGGGATGCATTCTGCTCCTTGCAGACATACACAGAACTCCTAAGCATCTTGTTAGGATCAGCCATGTTAGTACCTACAGCATGTCAGTCCTAGTTCTAACATACATGTCATTCAAAACACACACACACAACATCAACATCAGCATCATTAGCAACACCTGCAAGCTTGCAAGTATACTGTCATATGCAGCAACAATGGCACATATGCTCAAGCACAATCACTGCTCATGACAGTCTTGTTCCTCCACCTGCTGTTACTCCCACATACTACATATTGGTTATCTTAACCAAATCTTCCATCTGTGATACATATTGGTATCTTAACCAAATCTTCCATCTGCATCTGCTGTACCTGCTGTTTCAACCTGTTATCTATCACTCTCTCTCCCTTTTTAGCCACAAATTAAGATCCAACTAACAACTAGCATATATCATACATGTGTTTGGAGTTACATAACCTGCTCATGTAGATCATAAAAAAAAAACAGGTTGTCTTAACAATTCTCACACAAGCCTAACAAAACAAATCAAACCAATACAGCAGCAACACTTCTTCTTGCATCACCTCAGCCAGCAGTGGTTTGAGCTATAAGACATTAGTCTTCTTCTGCAGCTGAGTTGGACCTGTCCTCCTCAGTCTCTCCAGAGCCTTCTTCTTCAGCATCAGTGCCTTCCTCAGCATCTTCTGAGCCAACTTCCTGACTGCCCTCTTCCCTAGTAGCACCTTCTTCCCTTGTAGCATCCTCTGAGCTGTCAGTATCCTCATCTTGCTCAAGAGATTGTAGCAATTTTTCAAGTGTGTGCTTTCTTGCATCCAGTTCCTTGCATGTTTCTTTAATGATGGTCATCACTTCAGCTTTCCTGGCTTTGGGACCCCTTTTTGATGTCTCAGTGGATGCCATGGCAATGTCTGAAACATGGATTCCTTGAAACAGTTTGTGGTGAAAGGCTAGGGGAGTTTCTCTTTTGCTTGCTACATCACTGGTCTTGAGGATATTTGGAAACTAGGCTAACATGATTCCACAGATGAGGGAAGAAAATGCTATAGGTCCTTTGATGCTATAACTGCCAGCATGTTTCATTGTTTGATCAAAGATGTATGTGCCATAATCCATTTTGGTCTTGGTTCCCACAGCATAGATGACCCTCCCCAGGATGGTGGCCACTGATGATTTGTGATTGGTTGGCACCCAGTTTGTAGCACCAATCTTGTGCAGCAAGGCATATTTCATGCTCAGCTTGCTGGCAGCAAGCTTCCCTTTTGATGGCCACTTCCTGACTTGATTCCCAGTTATCACTTCACATATTTTGTTGTCAGAGATGGTTAACTCAGGCACAACCTCATTTGTTCTCTCAAGGAAGTTGTTGATGAT